CAGGCAACAAAATCAATATTGAATAAGGACAGAGACAGCTGATACCCATGGTACAAATAGCTAAAGGGTAAGGGTATTAGGCCATTCCCACTTTAATATGTATGTCTCTCCTTACTGTTGGGTATGAACTTTAGAAGCTACTTTGACTAATTAGCTTGTCGTTCCTTAATTACTTCCTTGTTTGAGAAAAGGTATATTAAAACATCTAGTTTTCTAATGCTAATGTATTTGTTTATTTTACATTTTTGAATTCCCACTGTACATGATTTACTATATGCTTGGCACTGACTCTAGCTGGAGTCTAACGTGCTTTAAGACTCACCCCAGGGGCTGGCAAGTTGGACTCAGTAAGTAAAAGCACTTGTACCAAGTCTGGTGACCTAAGTTCAACACCCAGAGAGCCCCCATGGTGGAAGGAGAGAACTGACTCCCTCAAGTTGTTCTCTGACCTACATACACACTAATTAATTAATTAAAAATAAGAAATAATTCATAGCACTTCAAGACTATATAAATACTTCCATTTCTTCCTCTGATGTTTTACAATTTTCCCGAAATGTTTTTGTTCTAAAATAGCTACAGTCCTCGAAGACGTTACAGTTAATGCTTACTGGCAGGTGGTATTTGCTCTGAGTTTTTGCATTACTGTTGCTACTCATTCCTGTCTGTTTCTCCTTTCTTCTGACTGTGGTCACTCATTTTTTTTCAACCTAAAGACCTTCACCAAGTATCTTCACTGCCCATCAGTTGTTTTTTCTTGTTCATATTTTATACTTGGTATTTTTAAAAATATTTTATTTATCATTTTTATTTTATGTTATGAGTATATTGCCTACATGTATGTGAGTGTACCCATGTCATGCAGTGCCACAGAGGTCAGAAGAGGGCTTCGGATTCCCCTGGAACTGGAGTTAAGGATAGTTCGTAGCCGCCATGTGGGTGCTGGGAATCGAACCTGGGTCTGCTGCAAGAGCAGTCAGTGCTCTTAACCCCTGAGCCATCTCTCCAGCCCCACTTGGTGTTTTTTTAATTGAGTTTTGTGTAGCATATGTAAAACTGGCACAGGCTCTAGAAGATACTTTCTTCCTCCAGAAAGGATTTACTTTTATGTTTGGCTATAGTTGGATGGGAGGCAAATTGCTTGAAGCCTAATTGGAGTTGAAATGACTTAATGCTGAGTTTTAATCATATACATATACATGTATACGTATATATGTATACATAGACACACACACACACACACACATATATATAAGTGCATTGCTTGCATGTATGTAAGTGTACCCATGTCATGCAGTGCCTGTGGACATCAGAAGAGGACATCAGACCCCCTGGAACTGGAGTTACAGACAATTGTGGAGTTACAGATAAATGTGGGTACTAGGAATCGAAACCCGGTCCTCTGCAAGAGTGGCCAGTGTTCCTAACTGCTGAGCCATTTTTCTAGTCTCCAAGTTTTAGTCTTTATAAAAGCCTAGTTTAGGGACTGTAAGATGACTTAGTAAGAGCACTCACTGCATAAGCATGGGACCTGAGTTCAAATCCTAGCACCCACTTAAAAAGCTGGGCATGCTTGCAAGCACACTTATAATCCAGTGCTATCGGGGGCAGAGACAGGACAATCACTGTGGCTTTCTGACCACCAGCCTTGCTCCAGGTTCAGTGAAAGACCTATGTCAAAGGAATAAGGCAAAGAGTGGTAGAGCAGGACATCTGAGGTCCTCCTCTGGCCTCTGCACACATGCAAGGCCATGTATGTGCCTGCACAAACATGCTGTGCATTTCTCTCTCTCTCTCTCTCTCTCTCTCTCTCTCTCTCTCTCTCTCTCTGTCTTTTTTTTAAGGTCCAATCTATTCCTGCTTCATTTTTTTTTTTAAGGATGTAGGTTTTTGAGGATCCCAGTTAAAAGTCTGTGTACTTCCTGGGCCTTTTCTCCTTGGCGGGCTCTGAACTTGTCTTTCCAGCCCCAGTGAGACTTCTAAACTAGTTCAGCTTCCTAGCTCCTGACTTCTTGATGTTGCAGAGTTTCATCCTCACTTGGTTAAGCCGGTATCTCAAGTAAAAGGGAGGCTGAAGGTCAGGTTCACATCACTTTAGCCATTGAAGTGCTTTGGTAGCTCCCCAAAACCTTGAATAGGTTTAAAATAAAATTCCTCCATCTTTTTAGTTGTTTTTAGCTGGACTAATCAATCATAAGCCAGGATCCAGGAATTTACTTTTTTTGTTTTCTGGGGTTTTGTTTTGTTTTGTTTTGTTTTGTTTTGTTTTTGAGACAGAGTTTCACTATGTAGCACTGGTTGGCCTAGAACTCAGGCTAGCCTCAAACTCATAGAGATCTACCTGCTTCTGCTTCCCAAGTGCTGGGATTAAAGTGGTGCACCACCAAGCCCAGCCAGGGACTTAATTTTTAAGAAATATTTCCAACAAGTTACAGTAGCCATATAGGTTCTTCTAACCAGTGATATTTCTGAGTTTTTGAAGTTAGAATCCCTTATATGCCAATTTCAAAGCTGAATGTCAGTTCCTCAGCCTCAAGACAGCAGAGTCTGAGACATTTTAGGAGAAGGCATACAGGATCATTGCACATGTCATAACCCACCTCCACGCCCATTGTCTTCGGTAGTTCCTTCCATAGCACATTATGTTGCACATTTGTTTGCCTGTTTGTCTCCTCTGCTAGGCTGCAAGCAGAACCTCTACTGTGTTCACCTCCAAATTCTCAGTGCCTACTGCAGTGCTCGATATTTGGAAGGGGCAAAAACACCTTTTTGAACAGAGTGTTCTTCTAGACAAAGTGATTTATGGAGACCGTCAAACTCACTAAATTCTTATTAGTAGTAGTTTGAAACCAGAAATACTCTTTCCCTTGACATTGCCCCATATTTAGCTTACTTAAAATCCACATTGGGGCTTTGGGGTCCCCTGAGTGTGGAAAATGGAAGAGGCTAACAACATAACACAGGGAGGGACATTGATCACATAACATTGTTAAGAAGTTGAAAAGTTGAATAAAATATCCAAGAAAGCAAATAAGGAATATTATACTCTGGGGTTGTGATGTGTCCAGCCCTGGTTTGACCCCAGTGCGCTGATTTCTACACCAATGCTTTCTTCACTTTGTACTAGTTTAAGACCTACAGGGGAAAATTTAGGTCATGTTCAATACAGACAAATGTATTTTTATGCTCTATTATTAAGAGTTAAAATTAGATTACTGTTGTCTGAACTCCACTAACTCTATAGTATTTGAAATAAAAGTTGAATTTGTTTAAATTAATGATTTGATATACTGACAGATATCTGATTCTCTTTTAGGCTCATCTGTTATCTTCAATGCTTCAAACTCGTATTTCCAATAACTTGAACCAACAGAACTGGAATTCCTTTTTCTAATTTTCATATGCCCAAGAAACATGCCATCCCACATGTAAAAGACGAAAATAAAGAATTCTGTCTTTATTCTCTAAAATTGCCTATTTCTAGCATACAGCTGCTTATTTCTGTTATTTCTTACCTGCCTTACATGCATAGCCCAATGTAGTATCATCTCCAAATTTTTCTTAGTCCCAATTTTAGAAATTAAAAAGAAATGTATTTTTAAGGATCCAACTACCAGTAACTGAGGAATAGCTTGATCTCCAGACAGTACTGATAAAATATAAACAGTTTGAAAGTATTGGGGAATAGCCAGAGCAGACTTTGGAGCAAGGCAACTCCTTCAAAGACAAGGTTTTACCTGAAGACATTCTCGAGTCTTAGGGCAAGGGCCTGAGAAAATATCAAAAGACCAGGTTTAACAGTGGTGGAACAACTAAAAATTTAGAAGAAAAATCCAGTTTTAAAAAATCACTGTCCATCTGAGGAAACAGGAAAATCTACTTTCTTAGGGGGATAAAGGGCTAATAGAAGCAGACCCTGAGATGACCCAAATGTCACAAGTAGCAAATAGTGGCAGCTATTATAAATATGTTCAAGGACTTCCAGGAAAATAAACATTCAACAAATGATCAGATGGAAGTTTCCACTGAGAAAAATCCAAGGGGAATGGAATTAAAATGAAATGTTCAGTGCTGGTAAATTCAAGATCTTAATTCTACATTGAGAAAAATAAATCTTAAAAACCACTGGCTTTTGAATGTCTAGTCTTTATACTGTTTCCTCCAGGGATGAGAGTGAAATCACCTGTGATAGTTACTATTGCCTGTCAACTTGACATGATCTAGCATCACCCAGGAGGCACACCTTTGGGCATGCTTTGAAAGACTTTATAAATTAGGATAACTAAAATGGGAGGATCACCCCCCCACACACAAATGTGGGCAGCACCATTCCATGGACTGGGGTCCCAGAGTGAATAAAAGGTAGAAAGGAGTGAAAAACCAACATTAATCTCTGCTTCCTGACTGTGGGCACAATGTGACCTGCTGCTGCAAGCTCCTGCTGCCATAACTACCATGCCACAATGGACCAACTATACCACTGACTCTAAACCAGAGTAAACCCTTCCTTAAGTTGGTTTTGTCAGGTGTTTTGTCACAACAATGAAAAAAGTAGCTAATGTAGCACCTGAATTTATATTGACTTTCATAAGGTCATTTTCCTCAGATGGGCCATATGTTTTAGTTTTCTATCCTTACTCTCTCCTTCCTTGAAGTAGCCCACAACATTTTGCTTCTGTGTGCTATATTTGGGTGCCAGTTAATGAAATGCAAGCTGAATTTTGACAGTGGACTAAAAGGAAGTTTGTGGGTTATGTCATCATATAAAGTTTAGTTCTTAAATGATTTGTTATGAGTTATGTTTTACTGTGATTTTCCACTGCAACTGTAACTTTCAGGTTTTTGATAGTGCAGAGCATAATAAGTCATTTAGTTATGTATAAGCAGTATTTTTTAAAGAATTTGTGAATGTAAAATATTCATTATATTTTAAAATAACCGTATTTTAATTCTTGATGCCCCTATACACAAGTTCTGTTTCTTTTGATTTAAATCTGCAGGTGTTTCACCAAAACCAACAGCACTTTCAGCAGCGGCCCCCTTCCTGTGGTCCCAGTGGTAGCCCCTTATCCTCAGGATGGCCTGGAAATGAAGCCCCTGAGTGCCATGAAGGTGCCTGTGTGTCTGGCTTCTACAGTTCCTGATCATGGCCAGTTACCTGAGGAGAGCATCAAGGACATTGTGACACCAAAGCCTACCCGGCATACATGCTGTCAGGACAATATAAGTGATATCAACTCTGATTCTACAAAAGATACAGCAGAGTCCAGCAGAGGTACAGGGAGGCATTTTAGACCTTTGCCTTCTAGCTAGTCTCCAGGGGGGGCAGAGAACTCTCATCAGGGAGAGTTTTCTTTGATCAGCTCACATATTTCTTAGAAGCCCGAGTGGGACTGTTGGGTACTTCGAGAGAGGAGGCTGGGCAAGGGATTCTTTGACTTTATTTGTTATATCCTTCAGCCCTGGCTGTCTCCTGTCCAAGTACTAACCAAGCCTGGCTTTGCTTAGCTTCTAAGATCAGATAAGATCAGGTGCATTCCAAGTGGTATAGTGCCAGACAGCTTATACTCTTGATCTCATTGCATGTGAGACAATTATAGATTCAGTTAGTACTGAGTAAAAAGCTTGCTGGGAGGCTGCATTTTGTGAACACAGGCCCTGTTTTTATTGAATTGGTTGTAGAATTGTAACTTTTATTTAAGGTGCTTATTGGGGGGCTGTCAAATTAATTGTATAATGACTTAGGAGAGCTCAACTTTATTTATTATTATTTTATGTGTCTGAGTGTTTTGCATAGGGCCCGTGTTCACAAAATGCAGCCTCCCAGCAAGCTTTTTACTCAGTACTAACTGAATCTATAATTTTCTCACATGCAATGAGATCAAGAGTGTAAGCTGTCTGGCACTATACCACTTGGAATGCACCTGATCTTATCTGATCTTAGAAGCTAAGCAAAGCTAAGCTTGGTTAGTACTTGGACAGGAGACAGCCAGGGCCGGAGGATATAACAGTGATTATGTGCGTGCAGTGCCCACAGAGGCCAGAAGAGGCATCAGGTCCCCTGGAACTGGAGTTACCAATGGTTGTTAGCTGCCATGTGGGTGCTGGAACTGAACTTGGGTACTTCGAAAGAATAACCAGTGCTCTTAACCACAGAGCCATCTCTCCAACCCCAACTTCAAACTTTTTAAATGTATTCTTCCTCAGATTCAAACCAGACGTAAATGGGCCCACTGCTTATTTCTTTATTATATACTATTTTTAGAAATAGCTGTGTGAAGATTATTTGTTATTAGTTTATAATGTACCCAAATGTTCCTGTTTTTCAGGAGACAGCAGTGGCCATTCAGAGACAGAGGACAAAATTTTAAGTTGGAATCCTCTCATTTTGTCGCCTATCTTGGAGGACTCTACTGAGAAGACAACATGGTCTCCTTCTGGCACTGCTCTAGACGCACTGTCAGGGGTCCTTCAGCAAGCCCAGGAAACCTGAGTAGGTGTACAGGCTTCTCGGTGTTCTCACTGCCAGCCAGTAACTGCACAAAACAGGCCTGGGGACAAACTGTGTGAAGGACATTAATCCAAATCAGAGAAATAATTATTTATTTTTTTGTGGTAGTAATGTCATGAATGTACCTTAAAGTGTGTGCCCTTTTATATTATTTATGTCTTAAAATTTCCCTCTTCCATTTCTTCCTTCCCTCTCAATAGGAAACAATTCCATTTTGTATCATTTTCAATAATCTGGAGAGTAGAGGATCATTCTGTGTTTTCAAAACTCTCAGTGGCAGTAGGAACTTGTGCCAGGCCCCATCTGCTGTCCCATCAGCTGGGAGGGAATTGCTCAGGCCATTTGAAGTTTGCCACCAGTCACATTCTTAGATGGAAAACTGTCTTAATACCATGTTATAGGCTTTCTGAGAACATCTGAAACCAACCACATTTGCGACCTAATGTTTATAAGAGCAGATCTGCTGATGAATTTTACAAGTTCCTTACTTCCTGTCTGTACCCAGGCACAAGCAACATTCAGTCTTCTGGTTAGCCAGTGTTGTGAACATGGAAGCATGCAAAGTCTGTTTGGATTATTGCAGTATGCAGAAAGGGAACCAGGTCCCAAAAGAACTACGTTAATTCATAAAATGGTCACCATGGGCCTCTTCACTACTTGCAGCGGTGTGTGCAAAGTAAGACTTTTGAAGTGATGGCTTGAAAATAAGATGTTACACGTTTCAAGAAGAAAGAGGAGGGCTGAAGTGATGTCTAAGCAGAAGCTCTTCAGTCTGTTCCCTGGGGTCATGCTCATAGTGCCATACCACCCGAAGATTGCCCTTTTTGTCACTTCCATCATGGGTGATATCCTGGAAGATGTGAGTGAGCATGTATCAGTCAGCCTTCTGCTACTGTAGCAAAATATCTGAGACGATGAACTGATAGGGAGAAAAGGTTGTTTTGGCTCACAGTTTTAGAGGTTCTGGCCCATAATCAAATGGACCTGTTGCTTTGGGCCTATGGTGAGAGAGCCTGGCATGGTGGGTATGCATGGTGGAACAAAGCACCTTATAAGCCAGGGGAAAAGGGGAGGAAGAGGAAGGGGCAGGGTCTGTCAGTCCTCTCCACAAGGGATGACCTGAAGACCTCCCATGAGTTCTCACCTCTTAGAGGTTCTACCTCCCATGGGCCACCATGAGGCCAAGCCTTTAGTACATAGGCCTTGGGAGGACAGTCAGTATCTAGACTAGCAGAATGTCAGGAACGGCTTAGTTTGGAGGAAAAGAGGGTTCCTGACAGTTTTTCTGATGGCCATCATGGTGAATGGTCACCTAAAGCTTTGGTCAGCAGCATTCATTAATCAGTTGCTGCTGCCTCATGACAGGGACATTTCAGCAGCCTCTAGACGGCTTTCTCCTCTCTATGTAAAACAAGCAAACACCCAGGCACTGCAAATGCATTTCATAGCTTGAACCCGGCCCTAATGGATCACTGTTCTGTTTTTGGATGGTGTATCCTTTTGGAGAAACAGAAAATTATTCTCTTTATGTGGAATCAAGCAATTCCATGATAAGTTTTTTTTTTTTTAATTTAGTTTTCCAGAGATTGCAGTGGAAGAGAATAAGATACTGTACTAATCAACTGTCTATATAAATGTGTTATTATTCCCTTACATATGTCTGTATGTTTTATAAATAGAACTGTTAGTGAGAGTGAGCTGTTTCAGTTGGGCCACTATGCAAGATTACTCCCAGTAGAATATAGTGAATATAATTTCATAGTCGGGTAGCAGGGCTCCTGTAGAATCAAGTTCTATGATCCCAGTGTCTTATAGTGTACAAGATTTGCAGTTCGTTTTGGAGAGATTAGCTGCATCTCTTACTTCTGTTACTAACAAAGGACAAAGGCTTGGTACACAGAATATGAAGACCTGTGTTTTGCCAGTCGAGTTACAACAAACTGTCATAGACAGTTTTAGAAAAGTGTCTGTGGGCAGGCATTCATTGTGACTCGTGAAACAGGTGTGTTAGCATGAGCCTTAGGTCAGAAACTGCTTTTAAAGATTGGATTTGACTATGGGACTTTCACAAGGAAGAGAAAATTATTTTACCTTTAGGGCAGTCTCATTGTGGACTGCTTTATTTATGTGATTAGTAACGCTGTTTTAAGTGTTATCCCTTTTATTGTATTTTATTTATAAAAATACCTTTATATATTGAGATATATAAATATAAATATAAATTTATATAA